TTGTTGAAGGTAACTCTGGCCTTGCATATAGAAGAAGGTCTTTTCACCGCTTTGTTGTTGCCCTGGTAGGACAGGTAATATAGGGAGTCCAGGTATGTGTGTTTGTGATGACCACCGTACCAAGTACAGTGATGCAAGTACAAGTTCACCGACATCCCATTGAAACGCGTGTTAAACTTAATACACGCATTTCAATGGGATGTCGTTGAACTTGAACTTATGACGGTTTGGTGAGACGCTGCCCTGGCTACCCGTTAGCGCACCCGTTATTCCATTATAAAATACGCACTCGGGTCCGTGAACTGGCTTAATACTGATATACCGAGAAAAACGTAGAGGACGCAATATCTAGGAGATTACCATGCATTTGGGGGAAATCAAACCTGGCAAGTTTTTGTATGAAAAGGCAGAAATTAGACAAGCAGACTGGTGAACTAAATCGGCCAAAAAACTGAGAAAATTATGAATTTTTGAAGTGGCAATCACTTCGTACGGGGATTGCTAATTGGCTGAATCGGCTCTGTCACTGTAATTAGTGCCGGGCAATTCCCCCACCTGCATCAACACATAAAATGTCATATTTCTAAAATGTACGACTCGGGATAATCTTTTTTTTTTAGAGGACCTATGATAATATGTTCAATTTGTTACACATAATGTATTTTGTGAAGTTTCCTAAAGGGGAATGAAAATTTATGAGAAAATGAATATTAATGTTATTTTTGCACGCAAGGGGAGAGATATTCATAATGCTCGTGATTGCGTCACTATCCACTGACCAAATTCCAAATTTGAGATTCGCACATATTTACTGATCTCATATTTCTAACATTTATAACTTTCTTATCATTTGTCCGATTCCCTTCAAACTTTCATCATTCTGTTTCTCTTATTTGTTCTGCTTTCATACAAATGAACTCATTACAAAGGTTAGATTACTCTTCAAATTTGGAGTCCGCAACCGGTTGGTGGCAGCAGTCTTATATGAAAGTCAGCTATGTTGAGCTCTGTGATAAACTATTGTCATGATTGAAATTGTTGAATTCAACAAGCATGGAAACAAACAAACGAACGAACGAACAAGCAAATACCAAATATCTTGTGTTGTTGGATAAAGCATCCATCTTTTGTTGCACATTATCTCGGATAGGACTAAGATCCACAGGATTCGATATGTGTATATCTTGATATACAGTTACATAATTCGTCCTTGTTTTCACGAAGTGACGGTAGTGAGGAAAATCGTAACGCAAAGTGAATGCAATTTTTTTTCACTACCGTCACTTCGTGAAAACAGTGACGAATTATGTATGTGGTGCAGCAATTGAACGTAAGAGTTGAGTTACCAGACAAAGCATTCTGTCAGGCATAACGCATAATATGGGGTCTAAACTGATCTATACTAAAAAGTACTTAAAGACAATATTTTATCATTATAGATAGTGACATGCAGAACCACATATCGGCTTGACCCAAGACACAATGTTCTTTGTAAGAGTTAAAATCGAGTATTTGCCTGCATACTATAGAAACAAAACTGTTTAAAACAACACTGATAAATATTTCTTATTCATAAGTAAATTATTTAATTCTCATGAGGCGTGATTTTTGTCAGAAAAGAAGGAAATGTAATTGCCCCGCAGTCTTGGGAAAGCGTTGTACTTTTTGACCCCATCACATCTGCTAAAAATGTGATTGCTGCCCTCGTGCAACACCTGGCTGGTTTTATTTTACCAGCTTTGATCTCCTATTTCGCGATTTCTTCAAGCTGAAGATCATACGAATTCGTCCGCACAAGTTCTGTTGCACATATGGGGTGGTGCCAACTGTATGTATGTTGGACCGTACTGATCAATAAATCACCACCACCCCCCCCTCCTCCTCCTCCCATCCGCAGGGGCGGATTCAGGAGGGGCCGAATCCACCGCGGCCCCCCTTTTAGCGGCCGTAAAAGGGGAGGGGAAGAAAGATAGAAGGACGGAAGAAGAAAAAGAGAAATAAAAGAGAAAAATAGGTAAGGCGACAAAAAGGAGAGAGAGATGGGGCAGATAGAGAGAGAGAGAGAGAAAAAGAGAAAGAGAGAGAGAGAGAGAGAGAGAGAGAGAGAGAGAGAGAGAGAGAATGAAGAAGAAAAAAAATCACTTCCCTGAGACACGAGTCGGCAACATACTAGTTGGGATAAAAACCCTACCCCACCGCAAGCAATGCCTATAATGCGTACATAAATGTATAAGTCAGTGACGGATCGGGAGGGGGGGGGGGGGCGAATCGGACGACCCTCCCTTTATTTGGGCCGCCTTAAAAGGAGAAGAATAGAAGATAGAGGGTGAGAGGTGAAGGAGAGGGAGGGAGAGAGAGAGAGAGAGAGAGAAGCGCCGGGGACTCGGCCCCTAGGCTCCGGGGGACTCTTTATCTGCGACCCAACAAGTGCACTAGGGCGCCCCCCGCACCTCATTCGTTAAGATAGAGGTTGTTCCCAATACCACCCTTTGTTGTATATAATTGAGAGATCGAGTGTTTGTTTATATTGCTCAGAACAGCTTTCTTGCAGGTTCTGAATTCCGAAATTAAACATGAGTGTCCAGGGGGCTCTGCCCCATTGGTCCTACCCATGTGGATTTGTACTTATGCGCAAACAATGCGCTTTAAGATGGCTTGCACCCCCCTTTTGAAAATACCGGATCCACACCTGATAGGGGTTATAAACTAACCTTTCATTATAACAAATTTAATGTTTTTCAATCTCTCTTATTACATGGAAGATACCGGTGATTGTAAGACCATGTAGAACATAGTATCAAAGAGAGAACTCTAAGCTACTAGTAGAAAACTTAAAAAAAAAACAAGAGTGGAGGTTTCCAAGAGTGCATACCCTTTCCCTAAAAAATATGATACCCCTACAGATTGTTTTGTACAAGCATTTCACCTTTGTTTTCACTGGTAAATAATTCACAAGGTTGCAACCTTCCTTTCTGTAGAAAACAGATCCCCTGATTGATATCATAATTTTTTTTTTGTCTTCTGCATCGGTTTGATTTTCCTTCAAGATATATAATCTACATACAATAAATCCTTTTTTCATACATAACAAAATATGAACCTAACCAAATATTATACATCAGTTTTGTTTGAACAACTGGATATAGCATAACTCATTATAATTTTCCAAAGACTCGATTTCTTTATATTACTACAAATACATGTCTTTTTTGCTTTTGTTGTTAACATTTCGATTTTTATTTAATTTTTTTATCAATCATGGAGAACTTGTAACTGACCATATGTATTTTCCTTTTCCTTTTTTACAACATATCCGAATGCATTCATTAATTAATTTAATGTTTTTTTAATTACTTTTTTACCACTTTTTAATTTAATTGAATTAAACGTACCTAATATCACTCTGCCCTTTACTATGTCATTTTTAGCCTGATGTTTTACCTTGTTAAAGGTACTATGTCCCATTTGCAGGCCAAAAAAATGAAAATGTTTAATTCCAACGGCATTTGAAAGATAATACTAGTTTAGAACTTCCCTAAAAAAGGTGGGGCTTGAAAATGTCTTCAAGTGGGAAAATAACGACTATTAGTTGTCAAATCGACTTAGGAGCTATAGAGCCAATAAGTAATAGTATTGATTTTCAGATCATTGTACCGAATGGTCATACGTTTTATGCTGCGCAAAGATTCAATCGGTTTAATTTTGGCCATCACAAGAAGTGGGTTATTGATGTAGACAAATGCTCATGAACCCTTTACATCTCATTTTATGTATGTTATTACCAAAGAAGAAACAAAGCCAGTCAGTCACTCAATAGTGTCTGACAGTGAAGTTTAGCAAGTAAACAGGTTTCCTTGCATAATTTGAATATGAGGACACTGCTAACGTTTAAATTTCACAGATAGGACATACAGGACATATTCATAATTCCTGCAAAGTTCTACAGAATTCGAGGTTGGCTGCAAAAGGGACATAGTACCTTTAACGAATTAAAAAAAAGGAACTTTAACATTTTACTTACAATATTAACTGTATTATAACTAAATGATCTTCTCTATCTAAGTACGTCTAGCTATGTCGAACCAACAGCGCAATAATAACATGTCTGGTCAACTTGCAGAATCAACTCGAATAAATAAAGAGAGGAAAATAATGTTCTCTCGTTTGTACTTCTTGGCGAATATCACCAATCGAATTACCAATAAACAATCGCTAACAACAACAACAAAAACAGGTGGTTCCACATCGGCTTAAAAGGGTTGAAATTTCGACTCTGTGATCGCTACGTCTCTAATTTGTCAATTTAACACGATTCCTACAGCCTTGACCAGAGCCTAGATATGTCAGTTACTGACTGTACCTTGTCAGGATCGAGTGACTAAAATACAGAGCCTATTGTAGTCTCATAGTGCAGACACTGTTACACGCAACGACTGACAAGGGGTTGTGACTGCCCCGCCCCCCCCCCCACTCAGTGTTATTTAGGGTACGCATATGCGTGTTCCCTCCTTTTGAAAACATCCCCTAAGTCCGGTGTGTAAAGTCTTTTTTGTGTATGTACGAGCCGGCCTTTGGTGCGTGAAAAGTACCCCTAATTACTGGACATTTTGGTAACATGCATGCGGTCATTCCGACCCCAGAGTGGGGGGGGGGGGGGGGGGGGGGGTGACTGCAAACTAGTTTTTGTAGGGGCGTACAAATTCCGGGATCATGCCATCTTTGATCTGCTGCCAGTGTAGCTAGGTGCGTGGAGCTGAAATGACCCATCTACAATCTAGATTCTTGACATTACTATACAAGTATTGTTTTACTCCCGCTTTATAATCTAGTGTACAACTCGAAGTAAGTAGTAACCCGTGTTTACAATAATACAATTACAAACTACTAGCTGCGTTAAGGAAAATTTCAGGAAGTCTGTTAGCTACGTGTAGCAGACTAGCAGTATGTGTTACGATCAACATAGGAGTGAAATCGTTACGACAGGCAAGGGCAGGCAAGTTGTAGTTGAACGCAAACTTGGAAAGTCTTACTAATTTCACTGCCATACAACCAAATAATGGAGAAAGACTCCAATGTAAGCAGTTCTGACGGTGTTCAACAAAGGGAGAGAGTAAAGACGAAGGACGCTTCGCAGTGTTTGGAAGGAGGCGATGGGACAACAAGGAATACGCTGGCAATACAAGACACTAACCCAGAAGCTCCTGACGGGGGATGGGGTTGGATGGTGGTGTTGGGGGCATTTATCAACGGCCTAGTCTCGGCAGGATTCACATCACTGATCAGTGTCTTATACGTGGAGTGGATTCAGTATTTTGATGTGAGTGCTGGCGAGTTGAGTTGGATTGGCTTTCTGTTCCCCGGTACTGCTGGTTTTGTCAGTAAGTATATATCCATTATTTCTCCAGCAATTTCTCTTTCTCATTAAGCAAACTCTTTATCCACCCCTATCTCTCCCCCTTCCCCAATTATTCATGTACCCATTTCCCCTCTCTATCTTGGATACCTTCTTCATTTCGTGAAGTACTGCTGTAGAGTTTAGGCTTTCCCCAACGCTCCTTCACCTTACACCCCTGTTCATCTCCCTTCGCTCTTCCTTCTTTTGTTAATATTGAAATTGAATCTGACATGCACAGCTAAAAGCTAATACATTTTGAATTTGACAAATAGAAATACATGTAATTTGTAACATTCAATATTGTAATTGATTTGATAAGAAAGAAAACAAATCAAGATAAATAATAAGATAAATACGGTTGACAATAACGTAACATGGATAGGGTTACAAAATCAAAGATTTTCTGTAGACAAGTAAAAATTGATAATGAAACAGTTTCAGACCAGTGTAGATGCTTATTAACCCAGTATATTTGTCAAAAAATCATTTAACATAGCACGGTTCCTCTAATTTACCCCTGTGTACTCCGTCCCCATATACCCCTCCTCCAAGTCTATGCCTCTCAGTGTATAGCTTATAGCCCGATATGATTTGTACCATAATCTTATGAAAGCTGTCCATTCACACAACAACAACAACATTCAAAAGACTTTGAAGGTAATATTAAAAGCTTGAGGAAAACATACTGAGAAGGAAAATCGTATGACAATCTTGAATCTACGTCTATCCAGGGTCTAAAACACCTCCCTGGTCTATCCGTACATGTGATATGTCTCTGGTATATCATAGAAGATCATATTTCCTGAACATAATGGGCAATATATCAGGAAGTCCTTTAAGCATTATAATACTTCTTTCGATTTCTGTATAACACAGTACAGCCTCGAGCTGTTTTGTGCTCACTATGTAGAGCTTTTCCGCAAGACCTTAAAGGGAAGTTCAACCTGATATTAAAGTTGATTTTAATATAAGCAGAAAATGAGAGAGACAGGTCAGTGAAAGTTTGACCAAAACCGATTGAAAATAAGAAAGGTGCAATCAATCGTACACAAATTAGAAACTCTGTGACGTTAAGTTGCGAGCTCGCCTCCCATTTGCCCTGCACTAAAATACTTCAAAAGTCTATATTTTCCATTAAGAATTTTTTTGGTCTTACATTCACCCTAAATATAATTAACTTTGATACAACCTCTATGTAAAACAAATCTATTTCGTCATGAATAACTAAGAAAATGAAATTGTCTGTACAGAGCAAATTAGAGAGGAGCTCGCAAGATCCGTCACAGTGTTGCCAATTTGTGTTTCACTGACGACAACTTCGAAAATTCACAACTTTCCTATTTTAATCGTTCAAAATTTCACTAAGTGTTTTCTCTCATTTTGTTGTTATTATCAAAATCAACTGAATATCGGGGAGGACTTCCCTTTAAAGGTGATATTTCCTTGTTTTCTACTCAGTTTTTGTTGTTGCTAACTCGTGACAATGCAGGCGTTGAAAGGCCGACAAATAAGAGGGGAAGTAGGTACTTGTAAATTTTTTTAATGCCAATCGAATATTGAAAACGAATTGGTTTGATGGTTAGTTTTTACTAGACTGCTAATATTAAGAAAGCATATGTTTGCTTTGAAGCAAGCAATCAGGGGACCGACGGCTTTAAGTCTTCTCCGAGAGACTTTGTAATGAGAATTAATGCGTTACCAAAGTGCACTAGCTACCTTTCCAGTGCTCCTAAAGGAATATTTAAAAATCTCAAACAAATTTACTAGATTATACAAAGCAACCATATTAGGCAAAAAGAATTGTCGAATGTGGGAGAGAAAAGTTAATATTGATATTAATTTCAAAATAAAATAATCCAGATTTAAAGGATTATCTTTTTACCAGGTTCTTATTTACTACAAGTGCTCTATTTAACGGTGTTGCCATGTTCTACACTTGGGTAACGAGAGGTAATTGAATTGTCTTGCCACTGGGCTTGAGTGCCACGCTAGGGCTCTGGCCCTGCAAATACCCCCCCCCGAAATACACCCATCACAATAGTGTTCATATACACGGCTTTTTATAAACTGTTGCTATATAATTATAGTGTATAACAACGATTATGATAAGAACAACTTGTGACACTTCTAGTATTCTGTATGGTGATATATTACGGTTTCAAAATAGGTAATTTATTTGTAAAAGTAGGAAGATTTTCCCTGGAGGGCAACATTAACCTTTTTTCCCCAGATGAAACGTTTGGTCGCTTGGGGGACATTACTGTCCCCCTAAAAAATTCGAACGTGTTTTTTCCTTCTTATTCGATAACAGTAAAGTTGCTGAAATAACATGATTTTCCAGGGTTTTTTTCTCACGTTTTTGTAAATTATACTTTTTTTAAGCGTTTGTTGGAAAAATGACAAATTCCCAAATTTATAGTGAGGCAAAAAAAACCTAAAGTGCTCCATTTGACATAGTAAAGGTGCCACTTTTACATCAGATAAGCTTCCTTTTTTATTTAAAAAGGTGCCCGTTCCACATTCTTTTAAGTGCCTCATACGAACTCTAAAAGGTGCCCCTACACCTCTGATAATTAACCTACTTTTATTCAAATCTGAGAGGTGCCCATTTTAATTTAACAAGTGCCCTTTTCTTTTGTAATAAGTGCCCCATTCTCTTCAGATAACTACCCCCTTTTATCTTTGATGAATGTCCGTTCTCACCTCTGATAATTGCCCTGATAATTGCCCTGATAATTGCCCCCTTTTATTTTGACACGTGTCCCCCTTTTTCTTTCTAATGAGTGCCCCTTTTTCTTCTGATAAATGCCCCCTTTTTTAATAAGAGCTACCTCCCTTTTTTATAAATGCCCCTACTCACACCTCAATAAATACCTCTATCAAAAAAGGTACCGCTTTTCCTACGACAAGTGCCAATTTTTCTTTGTAATAAGTGCCCCTTTCATATCACAAGTGCTCCTATTCCGTTCTCTGGTAAGTGCCCCTTATCAGATGCGAGAAATGCACCATTTTCAACTCTTATAATTCTATTTTTTTTTTTACTTGGACTCGTTCTCCTTTTCTTATCTAATAAGTGTCATTTGCCCTTTGGATAAGTGCCCCTTTTTCCTTTCACCATAAAATGTGCTCATTATTAAACGCAACTAAGAGCGTTTTTTTCTCATTAATTTCTCCCAAAGCTCAATCGCTACGCTCGCTCGCATTTTATAGTTGATATAATTGTGTTTTCTTTTTAAATATCTTTTCAAGCTTTCATGATTATTATTGTTTTTTCCCCCTCTAAATGAGATATAGCTTTTCGCACTGCGACCTTACAAAATCTTACAGTTTTTGCCCGCTCGCAAATCAATATATTCAAACCATCATACTCAACTGCAAAGTAAGTAAGTGACATAATACGAGGCAGGCAGTGGAAGGTTTACTTTATGTGCCAAAGTATAAAACAGAATGCTTTAAACATAATCCCCTTGTATCTTTAATTAAAGCTTGGAATCAGTTAGACAGATCATTGAGAAATGAGAATGGCAAGCTCTGTGAACACCTTTGAATACAATTTCAAACAATCTTGCAATATCGATTCCAAATAAGATAAAATGACAATAGGAATTTGTTTAGTGCCTTAACTAAAGTTTTTCCTTTAATTCCTTTTAGCTTTCTGGCACATTTCTCTTGTAAAAATAAAACGTTTGGTTAATTATGCGCTTGCAGAACAACATGATGAAATGTGGTATTCATATACATCCTCATTGCTAGGAAAATTTCACTTGATGCATTTTATTGTTTGACTTTGTCAAGGATATGACATTCGTAATTCTCCTGCTTGCACAATTTTCTGATTCTTAGCTTGAACGTAGGACGACATAATGCTTTTCAAACTTAAAGGATGATTTCATATAATTATTATCAGTTATAAATATATTTGTATTTTTAATCTTATTTTAGAGGGTACATTCAATTGGTATACTAGATTGCATTCTTTTTGCATATTATCCAGTAATTTACTATCCTGTAATATTTGTTGTTGTTGTAAATATGTTTATAACAATTTCTGTATCCCTAATGTCTTTCTTAACTGAGCCTAAGTAGTTTCTATACTTTGTTTATGAACTCTCAAACGTGTATGTTTCCTTTTTTTCAAAGTCTCATACATACCGAAATATGCTAATAGTTACTTTTCATCGGATTTAAAACCTGATTACCGTTTATACTATAATGGTACATTAAGATCAACACTTTCTTCAACGAAAAAGCAAAGCAAAACATGTTTTTACTGTTATATGTTAATGATTTTTGTTATTATTATTATTATTATTATTATTATACATATATTTGTTATACTATTATTCCTCATTATGTTTACCAGGGCCTCATGGAAGACCACCATTATTTGTGATAATGAGTCACCCTGCCTAATTATCAGAAATAAATAAATAAATGATGCTTATTTAAGCAGTATCTTGGACCATGTAAACAGAGAAACAAACATTAAAATCATGCCTGATAAACAAACAAAAAACCTTTATGCCGCCTGGTGGTGAGGCGATTTTTTTTCTGCCCCCCCCCCAAAAAAAGTTGTTGCCCATTACGCCACTGCAAGGACAGGTAAATGCACGTTACCCTCCGAAAACATGAGACGGAAGAGCAGACACAGCTGCACAACATAACGAGTTCTCTTTCACTTTTACTCAAACGAAAAAAGTGACATTGAAGAACATTGCATTTTCTTATGTAGGATTGTTCTCTAGTGAGGAAGTGACGAAAAAAAGACATCCAGTCCCGCTGCCCACCGAAAAAAATTATAATTCATCTCAAAAACAGTTTTTAAAACAGTTTTGGGGTGAGGACCATAATACATGTAGGTTTAAAAACAGGAGAAAAGCCGAGAAGTAATTGTCATGAAAGAACCGGTAATGTACCCTTAGCGCTCGTTTTCATCCCTGATCGACCTACCTACCTACCTACGAACTGTTGGAAGAATGGAGTTTCCATGGCAACGATATTTGTTCGTATGACAAGTTCAATTTTGGTCACCTCTGCACCTGTTTAGTCAATTTAAATACGAGTCCCTAGTCAAATGAGTTCCAGCGTTATTTATTTTACTCCTACATAATTCTTCGCAGTATGGCTTTAGAGTGCCCAATCTGGCCATGTCTGCGCAACGAACATAACATTTTAATCTCTGTAATAGCGATACGTATCCGCGCAAAACTGTGTCTCAAATGAACCTTTATTTTTGTATTGTCTAATGACACTTGACACGACCGAAATTTTCTTGTGGAAAAAATGTTCATGCTTGAATTTTGATGAAAATTATGGCACGCTTATTAAAAGACATGTATGAGAAATAGTGTAAGATTCAGCACCAGTGGAATATAAAAGAAAATCTTTGTCAATTTCAACTCAATTATTAGATGTGTAATTTCTACAAAATTGTAAAACCCGTCGAGACGAAGACTGGAAACGTGTTCATGAAAGTTATGTATTCATTATATTTTGTAAAGGTAATACAAAGTTTTGGTATGGGGTCATGAATTTGGTTCAAATTAACATATTGGAAGCATATGTGATCCTACAATATTCAGTGATCGTTGTCACGGTTGAAATCGAGTCTAAAGTTATGAAATTGTAAATAATAAACTCTTTATGTTGTATAGCTCCCTCTTAAGGTCAAGATGTTAATTAAGCTATAAAACAATGTTTCTTGACTAAAATAGACCGATTGGCTATTCCCTTTTGAAAATTATGTATCACAACTACATATTCTGAAATGTTCATGGTCGCATGTACCATTGTATGATCGTAGGCGCTATTTGAAATTTATCAAAAATACCGGGAGTACCGGTAAATTTTTATATTCAATTTTTCTCGAAAGCAGAAGTGATTTAGGGGCTAAATTTTCTAGTGCTTATAATACATCCACATGGGCTTCCAAATATATTAAAATTCTGAAAAATTACTATCCAGCCAATTTTCAATATTTCCCAAAACTTTGTATTACCTTTAATGCATCGACGATCGACAGGTGGAAATATTCATTTCCAACCAAAGGTGTTCACGAAGCACCTCATTCATTTTGGCAGCGATTATTCTAAAATGCACAAATGTTTTTTGATGTGTTTTTTCAGCTGCCATCACAGTGCCCTCCCCCCAGCGAAACGAAATATCGATCGGCCAAATTTTCAAATATCGGGACAAAATCATCATCATGATAATCATCATCATAATCATCATCATCATCATCATAATCACTATCGCCACCACCGCCACTATGACCACCGTCGCCGCCACCGCCACTATCATCATCATCATCGTCATCATCGTCATCGTCGCAATTATCACCAACATCACAAATCTGTTGCCCCCTTTTCTTCACTTTTATCATGTTCATGTTCTCATATCCATTTTTCATCTTCTATTTTCTCCCTCAACCAGGTATAGTGATTGGAAAGATTTGGACTGTGTTCGGAGTGCGGAGCACAGCGGTCGTAGGATCCATTCTCGCGTCGGCAGGTTGTCTAGGAGGTTCTTTCTCAACCCATCCTTACCATATAGCAATCAGTATTGGAGTAGTATCAGGTATAAAACACCCATCCTATACCATAGAGCAATCAGTATTGGAGTAGTATCAGGTATAAAACAATCGCAAAGACTTCCTTCCTTTCCTGTTGCACATAGACAAAATTTTATTTTCCCCCTTTTTTTCGTAATTACTATTCATCAAGAGATTGTGACGATATAACTTATTCTTGATAGATAAAGTTTATATTTTCTCAGAACGTTATTGATCAATTAAAAGTGTAATAGAAATTGATCAATAAAATTCATCTTTATGTACAATAATGTGTCAGGAAATGTCAATATCCTTGTCCTGTACCTTTGAAATGTTTGATCTTTATAATGATGTTAGTCTGTCAGATGAAACAATAGTCACATTTCTTGAAAATCGTTTATTTTCAGGCACTTTGTATCTTTAATAGGAAAATTAAACTCGTCTTAGAGCCAAAAGTTTATTAACTCAAATTACTTACTTTAATGTATGCCCTTCTGGCTCATAACAGACGGATACGCATACGGATACTTCCTAGTTCCTCTTAGCCCGGCAGCTCAGTGCACTTTGATCAAGCGAACGTAAAAATATCAGGGTATTGGAACATTCGGAGAGGAACCTAGTATATCCAAATATGGATTTCTGCCGGGCCGCCAGCCTCTGCTGCATATTGCCACTGGGGCCGGTTTAAAAAGGCCAACAAATGTTGTTAATCAAACGAGCAAAGTACCATTTGAAACCAATTTTAACTAAATGCATGAATGTTACAAAGCACTAAATGGCCCATGCCCGACAAATTTGTTGCTGCTGAGGGCTCGCCAGACGCCAAAAAATGTGGCCCTAAGGTCCATTAATGTAGCATTGACCGATTTGGAATGCTCAGGTTAATTTTTTACATACTACGGAAACCATCATGACAGACAATTTTTCTCCTGCCTAGGGCCTGCCAGACGTCCCAAAACTTGGGTCAATGCTACAAAAATGGGTTTTTTTTTTTTTGGCGTGTGGCGTGCCGTAAGCAGCGGAATTTTTGTCGGGTATGGGCCTTTCAGTACTTTGTTGCATTCATGCATTTAGTTAAAATTGGTTTCAAGTGGTACCTCGTTCGTTTGTCCTAACGCAATTTAAGTGGCCCTTCTAGGGCAACTGGCGGGCCCTAAGCAGCTGAATTTTTGTCGGGCATGGGCCTTTCAGTACTTTGTTGCATTCATGCATTTAGTTAAAATTGGTTTCAAATGGTACCTCGTTCGTTTGATCAAAGGCATTTTTTACCCTTTTTTAACCGGCCCCAGTGGCCACATGCAGCAGAGGGACTCTGGCAGACGTCCATATTTGTGTATACTAGATCTCTCCCTGATGCTCCTATACTTGAATCAAAGTGCACTGGGCTGCCGGGCTAATTACTTTCGTATTATGTTCCTTTTATTGCAGGGCTAGGAGTTGGTCTCTGCTTCATCTCTGCCGTGAACATGGTCGCGATGTACTTCCACAAGCGATTTGGTGTGGCCAATGGCATCATGTTTATTGGTACCAGCTTGAGTCAGATTGGGGTACCTCCCCTCACCCGGTTCCTGGTGTCACAGTATGGCTGGCGGGGCACCTTGCAAATCAACAGCGCCATCATGTGCCACAGCGTTGCTGCCTCTTTCCTTCTGCGGCCGCTAAAGCCACCTCCAAAGAAAAAGATGACGATGAAGACAGCTTCAGGTGAGTGCGAAAACAAAGGTTTTGAGACCAGAGAAATCATCGAACTGGATGTACTGCCACATCTCTCGACGCCGTTAGGCACGCCTGTGATTCAACGACGACGGAGGATTAATGTAGATACTGATTTAGGTGGAGTGCGGGAAAAAGGTAGTATGCGAGGGAAGGGCACTGTGATGAAAGCTGACAACCTTAAGGTGTTTGGGCATCAGAGAACACCCTCTGAACTGGAGCAACGGTTAGAGCAATCGAAACCTTCATCTTCAGGGAATGACAACTGCGATCATAATAAATATTCCGTTCGTGTTGTTGCTAATATTCCAAAGATCAGGGTGGAAGACTGGGATAAATCCATTAAAGCGTCTGGTAAAAATAGAAACAAGAAGGATATACCGACCGATGCAACGAAGTATCTAGAAGCAGGTAATGAGGGTGAAAGAAAGGGCCAGTCGGGTCATCTGTGCAAGACCCTTGCCGACATGTTCGGCATCACTCTCTTTAGAAACGAACCCCTTGCCATCCTGCAGAACTTCTCCTCTATGGTGGTAATGATCGCGACCTTCGTACCTGTAGCCCACGTCTTTGTGATGGCGACGGATCGAGGCATGGCGATCAGCAATGCCGCTGCTCTTCTATCAGTGCTTGGGGTTGGTGGTACGGTGGGACGCATTATCTCAGGCATCACCGTAGACAAACAACTGATAGGTAAGGCCCGTAGCTAGGCGATGGGGTTTTCATGACAATTCGGTGACCCTACAATCCTACATTGATTTTTACTCTGGTAACCTTTATCTTGGCGTTATTTGTTTCAAGGATGTAGCATTAGACCTTCGGTTGTGATTGGGCCTTTAGACCTTTGGTCGTGATTGGGCTTTGGATTTGTATTAAGCTTAGGGTTATAAGTATGGTCTTGGAATTAGGTATGACCAAGAATTAAGCTCCTTTCAACGGAGCGCAATGTAAGATCATCAATAATGTATCTGAAGCAGGGGGTATGCATGGGGCTTATATAAATCATGGGAATTTGTGACTTCGAAAATAGTGATATGATCAAGAAACACTTCACAGGTAGTCAAAGTATGGACATCCTTTAAAATGATAAGAGTGAGAAAAGAAAGATAACAGAATGATCAGTGAATATGTAAAAAAATCGAGAAGACGACATACATGTACATGTCTTTGTATAAGGACGATAATACTAATTTTACAAGTAAGGAGCGCCATGGAGAAGTCAACCATTAATTATCTAATATCTTTCCACTACTATATTTTGATCCTTTTACTACCAGGTCCCCACAGCTACATGACCCTCATGAATGTACTGACCGCCATCCCAGTGGCCATCCTCCCGCTTGTCGCCTCCAACTTCCCCCATGCCGCAGCCACTATCTTCTTCACAGGCATCGGCATCGGATCCACGATCGTAATCCGGATTGTCCAAGCCAAGAAGGTTGTCTCGCCAGCCTTCATGAGTGACAACGTGCGCTTTGCCGTCATGAATACAGGGTTTGGCATGACGATGGGTGCAGTTTTATCAGGTGATACCTCCGAGTCACATAAGAAGATTATCTTTCAAAAGAAAGAAGGAATGCATTACAGTAGTTACAACCCTAGAATAATTAAACGCATGCTTCGAACATTTGCAACCGTACATAATGATAATCACTGAAATATTTGAGTGAATCTATCACCAAAAATAATCTTGTTCAAGGTAATACATTCAAATATTACGTCTTTTACGTCTATAAAGAGATATTGCGAGTTTCAAAATGCCGACATGTGAGAAGACTTACTTCGACGCACCCTTACGCGACCGCATATCTACCAAAAGGGGCATAGGGCCCACACCAAAGACGTTTAAATATATACGCAAGACCTACCTGGGTTCCCTGAAATTAGGGCAATACATGCTTACTGAAATTTTAAAAATATTTACACTTTCAGTATTTTCTGATTTCAATATTAATGTTTATATCTCTCTTCTCTTCTTGCAGGATGGTTTGCTGACCTCACTGGTAGTTATTCCTTTTCATTTTACTGCGCGGCCGACATCCTCCTGTTCGGAGCCGCCATCAACCTAACCATTTCTGTACTCTCTCGACGGCGGAGAAAGAAACAAAGTTCTCGAAAGGAACATCCTATTTAGCCTTCACATTGCTTCATTCCTTTGTAACGGATTAGACTTAATCAGTAACCGGACCAAAATGTCAATGCTCAGTGGAATATGGTACAAAATGATGCATGCGCGTGAGTTCATTATACGATCTATCCGCACTCGAGTGAGGCTGTGTGTATCTATCGCACGACACCGTTAGGCCAATGAACTGATTAGATTTTGAGGTCACGAGGTCATAGGTCACAGGGCCAATGATTTATGAAAAAAGGCTCATGATTACATTATCATTAGAACCAATGGACAGATTACCCTCAAACTTGGGGCATGTATGTATCTTGCTGAGCCAATGAACTGATTAGATTTTAGGGTCATGAGGTCAAATGTCATGGGGCTCATTATGTATGCAAAAAATAGCTTGTCAACGCATTCTCATTAGAACTGACGGATGGATTACTATCAAACTTAGGACATGTATGTATCTTGCAAAGCCAATGAATTGATTATATTTTAGGGTCATGAGGTCAAAGATGAGGTCATACATTGTATATGAAAAATAGCCTTTAATCACGATATTCTGGGATTGCTATCAAACTTGAATTTGAAAAATTGCTCTGTTTTGGTTTGTAAAATCGCTCAATGGCGTAGGCATCACTTCATGGAATTATAGTTAAAAATTGTTCCTTTTCATTCGGAATAGCAGTAAAGAGCTTGCCAACACACCCAAGGAGGGTGACACAATTGTGTCATTATCAGTCAAAGAAGAGCATTTCACTTTTAATAAGGGTTTAATCAAGCCTACCACCCAACTCGAGGGTACAAAACCATTATCTAACACTATCTTTACAATTAAGTTACTATTTTCAGGAGATTTTGAACCATTCTTTAACATTTAACATTATTCACTGAACTATCATAAAATTATCGTCTTGTTATTTCAAAGACATTTAACCCTATTCTGACTAGGCTTTTCTTGAGCACGTTATGAAGGGGGAGGTGTAGGGAGGGGGGGGGGGGTGTCATTTTGGTATTCATTTTGTCTATGAAGTCATGTCAACAAGTGTGCATAACAACTCTCATTAACTTGTACACACAAAATGGTATTCTCAGTTTCTGGATGACCTATGACCTTTATTTGTCAGTGATCTGAACACGCTACGTTCGATTCTTGTAAATTAGGAACCAAAAGTTGCGCAAGATTTCAACGAATTATATTTAAATAAAAGAACATTTCGATAATTGCAGCGGTTCGGGAGTAGTTGTAAAATTACCACTCCCTGTCAGAATAGGGATAAGTTGCAGTATCACTTCATAATCTTCAATTTGTCCTTTCAGTTTATTGTTCATGCCAATGTTACTATCAAAATGAAATCATTCTGATCCGTTTCAGGAGACATTTCGTTGTTTCAATCATTGAAGTACTTCTAGAAATCATTCATTGAAACGTGAGAAGAAACCTTTAATCTTGTGTAATTTACTGTTGATAATACATGTGTTCCTCTATCGTTGGGGATTTCGCTTTTCAAACTCATGAGAAATATTTTCTTCTCTTAGAACGCTCAAAATTCTTGTAACTCTTGTCAGTTCCTTTCTTTTTATCGTCCTATTCTGATTTCTTATCACGACATTTGTTCTTAATTTGCATTTTTTTTCTCAATTCGTCACAAACTTTATCACACCAAGGTTGAGATTTGGAAAGCATCTCTCCTCTTCTAAGATGCATTTTACAATTTCTTGTGTAACATTCCAGATGTAGCAGCCTCGCCCCCCTCCCAGTCCGGGAACAGATTCTAGCAATGTTTCTAAGGGTACGTTTATGCTCAACTTTTTCTGGCCAGAATGAGGCATTTGATACGCGTTTAGTTCAAAACACGGTTGTGTCCTTTCTCATTTTGGTAGAATCACCGAAAAACGGCGATCGTAAACTCACAAAAAGGTGCGTTTTGGATCGGCGATTCTGCAAAATCAGCGATTCTGGGGAAGCATTAAGTAAAACGCACAATTTTGTAAACGCGTTTAAATGGGGTCAACGTAGCATGCGCAGTGCAGGTTTGCGAATCCAGCTGCAGAGCCAGAATCATAGAATCATGCCTGGAGGAGCCTGAGAAGTGAGCATAAACATTACACCGTGGAACTGCGATTACGATGAGCGTTTCAAATCGCTCATTCTGCCTTCAAAATCAAGCATAAACGCACCCTAATTCAGGTATGGCAAAAGTGTCCACACTGTGTGCGAACTCAGATTTTACTTTAAAAACAAAACAAAAATCATATTTGATTGTTTTTTTAAAGTTTTATTACCACTATTTTAAAAACAAACAACATTCGATATTGTTTGTTGAGTGTTTATCAGACAGGAATTCGTCAAAAGAGTTTTGCGGAGACGCAATTCATTTACTAGTTTTTATAAACAAACTAATACACTGGCGGCTTACCACTCCATCTGAGCGAGCCTTAAGTTTGAGGAGGAGGAGAAGGAGGAGAAAGAGACCCCTGCCATATACATAATGATTGATGGCAAATAGCGATATTGTACCTCCCTAAACATTATGAGCAACACCGGTGTCTAGAAAATTGTCATCGCCACCCCAGACCTTTTCATTAATGAACTAGTTTTGTTCCATTACATGTCAAGACAAACCGGTTAATAAACGTGTTTACAATGATAAGTACTATTCATCTATCTTAATCCAAAACAAGCGATGTTATAAAAACTTTGTCATGTTTTCTATTTCGAAAAATAATGAACACAGTCACAGAGACTTCCGAAAATATCGACCTAAGGACATTTCTACAGCCTCGCCCATCACCTTTTGCAACATGCAAACATTATACGATGACGTCATTCGAACATGATTTCTAGAAATGGAAAGAACAAAAGGGTATGGAAATTGTCCTAGAGTTTTCTTAAAGTAGTTGTGATCGTGTTAATGTGGTATAGATTATTTTCCATTGTTTTTAGAATTAAAAACAAAGTTATTACGTGCAAGCTAGTACATGTATTTACCAATGTGTTTATTCAAGCTACTTATTGGTCTCGATGTTAAATTCGTATGATCAGTGCAAATATTTTGATATTGAGCTTCTGCCGAGTTTTATCATTACCAATATTCGTCATGCGATTCGTACTTAAGTTATAACCTGTGTCAAAATATACTCTTCCTTATTCATACTTGGTTTCATTTTCATGATTATTTCGAGTATGGAATTATTGTTTAGCATGAAACACACAATACGGTAGAACCAGCATGATCGCCAAGGCTTTCAAAATCGAAATCAGCCTTCGGCAATTTCAATAGTCTTCCCATATATTGGAATGTGCTAACATGATGATTGCTTATTGCATAATCCGTACAAATTTTCCATAGGCACTACAATAGTGGATTGAAATTGCCTTTAAGTTGGTTTCTTGAAAGCCGTTCCGATCGTGTTCAATATTTATCTCAAGTAAAGGCCAAAACTTATGTTTAGGTTTGTTTTTTAATTCGCCCTATCCTGTCGAAACCGATAAGAATTTCACGAGAATGCTAGTATGTATATGCGGCTACTGTCTGCTGACTCTTGCATCGCACACAATCAGATCCATAATATACAGTTCACGGCGTTTTACAGACTCATTTTCAGTCGGGAGCTAGCTAGGTGGTGCTTGTTATATTATCGAGCAATCATTCGCAATAACCGACTTGGCAGATACTACTCACTCTATGTAATCACTCTTCCTCGCTTTCCAATATCTCTTTCACCCTTTGTATTCTTTTCCCTTTTTTTTCTTCTTTATTAGACATCCCTTTCCTTCCGCCCCCCCTCTCTCTCTCCCTCTGTCGCTCACCCCCTCACTCTCTCTCCCTCTCTCCCTCTCTCTCTCTCTCTCTCTCTCTCACACACTCTCTCACCCTCTTCCTCCCACTCTCTCCTATTCATTTTCTTCAACCGATTTGGGAAGGGTTGACTCTGTGCGTGTATAATATCCCATTCCATGATATGCATGCGCAATGTGACATCGGATACACAGCGCGCAGTGCCTAATGACGTCAACAATAGGATGCTCGCGCAGGGCTATGTTTACATTTTCAGTTTCATTTATTCATTCGCACACATCATCGGTCCTAAACAACCAGGAAATTAAGAGCTATAAATCTCAGTATAATTCTACAGCACTGATACATGACAGAAAAGATATCGTAAGAACATATTTAAGGACCAGTGAAAGACTGTTTTGGAGTTTCGAAGAAAAAAATATGGCGAAAACAAGTGATTCAAAAACCGTTGCAGTACAGACCAATCCGAATATACCGACTGGGAAGAGTGTTCTTACCAATGCAGAACATTACCATACACCGGGGTGAGTCGTTGGGTTCGCTCGCTTTGTGCTTGTTTGTTTTCTCTAAGCATTTATCATCATATAATTGAAAGGTCTCTCAAGTGATTAACATAGACACGTTCAGTCAAATCTATATTCTCTTTGAGTAGTGGGTCTACTATTTCCTTTGAATTGGACAATATTAGTAATATTTTCATTATTTTCTTGGTATATTTCTTGATAATTAATACTGTTGAAAATCATGTAGATCATAATGGTTACATGGGACTGTTTTTCTATTTAGTTTTTAATGATGAAATGATATCAATTGCACTTGCTGCTTAACGAATATTTAAGATTAGCGGTGAAAAGGTGATCACTCAACTTCAGTTTCGTATTAGAATGAATAAGATCCAATCAAAACAAATAATTACAAATGAGATAGAAAAGAAGGCTCGATGGTAGAAAGAGTTCTCTATGATAATGGTCAATGATATTGTAGAGGTTCCATCTACCATTATATTCTCAAACTAAATCCTTCATGAATTGGAATGGGTCAGTTGTCCATGCACATAGTACCATCTCTGATTTCATCATCATAATGCTTGTTTTTCAGATATTGTGGGTTCTGCCCCCAGTTCAAATTTCAAATCGGTGAAACTTTTGGTCGGACGACGACCCGGCTACTCAAGGACCCAAGCGTACCTAAATCACAACGGACAGTACTTGCCAATATCAAACCGATTTCACCAGGTTACCCAGGTAAAGATTATTTTCAAAAGCCTCGTTTATGCGGTATATAATCACTCCGGGGAAAAGGAGAGAGAGAGAGAGAGAGACAGGGAGAGAGACGAGGAGAGAGACAAGAGAGAGAGAAAGAGATCAATGAAGTCCGAGAAGGGAGGGAGGGAGGGACAGAAAGAAAGTGAGACTGAATATGAAAGATATGAGAGGAAGGAGAAAGAGAGAGAGAGAGAGAGAGAGAGAGATGAGGAATAGAAAAGAAAGTGTGCATGTGTGAGTGACATAAAATTAAGGAATCGAGTGGTGTTAGATTATAGACTACTTCTCGTATTATATATCCTTTAACTTTATAACGCGAGTGAAGTTGTAGCCAATATAGTGATTTTAATCAAAATGAAATATTGTATGCATACATGTATGGTGTAAAAAAGAGTCATTTTGGATTGTCCGTCCGTTCCGCTATTAAGTGACTACAGTATTTAAAGAACCTTTGTACGGATTTTAACCAAACGTGGAGCAACTATATACGAGCCTGCAAGGATGGAATGATAAGATTTTGGGTGGAAGAGGTCAAAGGTCAAGGTCATAGGATTATACAAGCGTTAAAAACTACCAAAAAATGTTACGGTACCGCGATAACTTGAAAAGTATTGAAGCAATTTAAAGCCCCGTTGCACTACTTGTAGCTGCTTGCTCCCTCTATATAGAAAACAATGCCTAAGCGGTGCCTGTTGGTCCCCCATGATCTTCTTTTTGAGAGCTGAATTGAGAAAACCACCTGTCAGTGACCACGCTGGGTGGTCTTATCCCCCTGGCCAAACTAGTGCAGACGGGCTTTAAACCAAACGTGATTAACTGATCACATTTTGGGTGTACATGAAAGAGGTCATGAAAATCACAGAGTCATGAAAGTGTTAAAATCCCAGAAAACTTGTGGCCCAAACTTTATTCAAGTATACATGTACAGGTGTACGTATGACGGTATGAGCATGAAAAGATTAAATAAAATTACTTTGTGTTTATGAGGACAGATGCTAGGTCACAGGATCATAGAACATTTATATCGGTGGAGGCATCGCATTCATCTTGTTCTTTTTTTAGATCGAAACACTCCGGCTGGGCGAGAACTGCTGTTCCAGTCTCGCAAAACAAGCTTTGGGGACCAGAAATTTACCGAACAGATGGTACCAGGGTACACAGGTATAGAGGTTCATAAATTATCAATTCAAAATGTTGACAAATGTTTCATAGTGCATAGTCGTACAATGCCCCCCCCCCAAAAAAAAAAAAAATAAATAAAATAAATAAAAATAAAATAAAATAAAAATAAAAAAAATATCACATGTATCACATGTATCACACACTGAAGAAGAAAGTTTCAACGTTGAATCCTAAAATGCTATCAACTCCTTCAAATTACTGTGCTATATTAAAGCAGATGGGGTGTATTTTATAACTCTTTTCCGCTAAAACACATTAAAAAAAAAAAGTGCAAGAAACAGGTTTCATATCGTTTACTAGAAGTTACACATAAAACGCATCGGGTTTGATAATGCACCCTTAAGATAAAGATAGTCAACAATGACTGATAATTCCTTCGAAATCAATACTAAACCCATGTTCCCTCGAAAATACAGGCGTAGATCGGAGCTCTAAAAGTTGCACTCTGACATGTAACCAAATTGGAAATTTTAGGTTTCCATAGCGATCTCTCCGATTTTATTTGCATAACCTTTTTTCCACCGTTAAAAGAAAATATATATATATATATATGTCCTGCAGGCTACATCCCGAAATCCCAGCATTACTATGGCAACCGTTACGCGGAAGAATGCCGGGAAGCTATCGCTACGTTTGAGCAGGACCAACAAGCCGAGAGAAAGAAGAGAAATACCATGAAGACTGTTCAACAGGTCCAGTCGGGAAAACTGAAACCTTCCAAACTACCAGAGGTACATGTATATAGTAATTCAATTCAAAGAAACAGTTATTGTCACACGTTACACAGGTATGGAAATCTTTCTAAATGAATACCGATTACGATGAAAAAGCATGATGTTAAAATTCATGGAAGATTAACGCATATGATATAATGAAACAAGGAACTTATGGTCAAACTTAAAAGCAGTACATATTACAAACGATGTAGGGACAGAGAAAGAGGGGGAGGGGGTGATATTATACGTGAGAGTAAAGAGGGAGGAAGATTAGGTTAATATGGAAGATGTGATTTAATAATAATAATTTTTAAAGTCCACTCCAAATCAAACCGAAAATGGAAATTATTTTTGCCCAATTGATCGTGAGCCCGGCAGCCATTGAGAGAGAGAGAGAGAGAGAGAGAGAGAGAGAGAGAGGGGGGGGGGGGGGGTAGAACGAGATAGAGAAAGAGAGAGAGAGATAAACGCCCATTTACAGATTTTTTATCTTTTTGTCTCCAGTGCCATAATCCGTTCGCCGATTGAGCTTTAGGAAGTTTATGAGCATTTAGTTATTTATCACATACTTAATACCCCGCTCCTTTCCCCATTAAGGATCGACGCCTATGATGCTCTATTGAAAATTCGGTAATGTAAATATGTTTCTCAAAGGTAATGACAACTCAATCATTTAGAAAATTGCACCACAAACAGTCCAATAAACTACATGTTGAATTTTTAAGCCATAACATTCCCTCCCGTCGGTCAATTTTTCGAGCAGGAAACGTCGGTATGTCGCACATGCCCTCTACGGCAACTACCAGAAGTCAAGCCTGTCCGCTTCAACTACGCCTCGGCCAATGAGAAACAACATTATATGTCACCTTACTACATGAAAGATGAAAATCCACAAAAAAAGTTTATGTCTGGTAAGCCTAAAACAATTTTCACAAGTCCAAATAATTAGTTTATATTTAAATATTGAGTTTCCCTCTTTTCAATGTTGCTTATGCGGTATGGCTTCAGGACTAGGCCAAGACGTAATTTTGTAAGGTTGGATGACAATTTACAGCTTTAATTTTTTTTCAATCATTGAAACTTGAAAGCAATTGCACTGATCGAAATGAAAGGTCTATAACTAACTAGGTTACTTCCAAAATTCGTGTAAAATCCAAATCAACAACAACAGCAACTGAAACAACAACAACAACATTACGGAACACATTTTATCGTTATTGGTTGTGTTTTTTTTAATGAAAAAGGGATACTAAAAAAAAAAAATTAATATAGAAGCCTTATTTATCATGAAGTTAAGATTTTTACCGGATATTTTCTTGATTATTTCTGCTTAACTATGAAATGAATCATATTTGGCTTAGTTTCATTCTAAAAACGAATGAAATGACCTTGGTATTATCTACTTTTACCTGACAGGGTACACGGGGTACGTGCCTAACGCACGGGATGTAACTGGTGTGGGGTATCCAATCCTTACCAACCGCGCTCTCGTCAAATTCACCAACGATCCAAATCACCCCATGGTCACGGGTCCGCCCGAGGGCAAAGGTTGTACTGCGGACACAACCGGTAACGTACCGGTAGGTTGTCCGGTCCGTACCTGTCAAACCTCGGGGAAAATGCCTCCAATGGAGGAGAAGATCATCGATGAGATGAGGCGACTCTGCGGCCGGCAGTTGCCCGTCATCTATCCGATAGAATCCGGCTTGGTGCCGCACTACACTGGGCATATCCCAGGTATGAAAGAGCCCTCTGTCTCCTCCTCCTCCTCCTCCTCCTCTTCTCCTTCTTCTTCTTCTCTTTTATGTTTTATTTTCCCCCTTCGTTAGAACATTAATAACACCTTTGCCCCTTAAATCCAAACGAAAGTATCGCAAAGACTCTATTTTATGTCCTATAAAAAAAAATGTTTGGATTATGTACTTAATTTTGTCGTTTTTTTTGTTTGTTCAAACTTTGTGGTAGGGGATTGATCAGGCTATTAAAATTGCCTTATAATGATTCTTAGAAAGTCTTTACAATCGTGATAGATGTCATTTTGATTAGAGCCATGCGGATCAAAATAGATTTGTCATATTTCTTTCATTTCAAATAACAAATTTCTAATGAAGGAATTAATAAACTTTTAGACCTGATTTGTCACAGTGTTTGCAAATACATGCAAAAAAAAAAAAAAAACGCCTCTTCTTTTCTTCGTATATTTCTCTTCCACTTACAGGAGAAAAGTTCCGTTACGGGACTACATTCGGTCACAGCACACGTAATGCGAAACGGGAACCCAACAAGAAGTCTAACCGTACTACATAAATGTTTTCGTCCTACCTTTATTTCCCGCCTTTCAAAAAAATCAATCAATTTCTCAATGTTGTATCTAGTTGGTAATATAAAATAAGTGGTATGTTTATTTTATGAAAAATACATTTAATAATGGTATGGTAATGCAATTTGATATTCAATTTGTAACATGTATTTCTATAGTTTACGAATATATTTGTAACGTCGTGTCAATCACAAAATGTTTTGAAGTCAATAAATTCCTCGCGGGGATTGCTAACATTTATTATGCTAATTCTGGGAAACATCCTCATTTTGCAATTGATTGGAAACAATAAAACAAACAAAAAATGATGCTTTGTTTCAAAATCAGTTTTTACACGACGACAAAGGACTTTTGAAAAATCAACTTAAGGGCAACTTCAATATCGTATTGTATTGCCATTATAAATTACGTTATGACAGAGGCGGTCCTCTGTGGTGGGGACGCAGTGCCCTCCCACTCTTTTAAATACCCCAAAGTGCCCCTTTTAACTTCAGATATGTACCCTTTCTCTTTTCAGCAATTTCTATCAATTTGAGTTTACCCTTTATACGTGCCCCTTTTGCATGGGTGCACCCCACTTTGAAAGACGCTCCGTCGCCCCAGTGATATGATTTTGACATATGTGATTGTCAAGTTCGTGCATTTGAATAGGTGATGCAGAAGGCTATTGATATGCCTTTGGATGATTTTTTGAAAGTCTTTGATTATGTTATTTCTACAGTTGAGTGTGATTACATATACATGTAGGTGCTATTGTTTGTGTGAAAGAGAATTCTAAGAAGAATATTTAGGCACACAGTGGCGGATTCAGGAGATGTGAGAGCGACGTAAGAAAACAGGAGAAAAAGATGAAAGAGAAGAAGAAAGGAAAAGGAGAAGAGAGAGAGAGAGAGAGAGAGAGAGAGATGTTATTAACATCGCAACACAGAGTAACTTGTTGGCGTAATGTTTGCATAAACCAATGGCGGATCGGGGGGGGGGGGGGGGGGGGGGGGGGGGTAAGCGGACACTTTTTTTTTTTTTTTTTGGAGTCCAAAAAAAATCGCAACGACTCAACCAGCCCAAAAGTCGCTCAGTGGGGGGGGGGGGGGGGGGGGGGGGGAGGGGGGGGGGGGGTTAGTGGGCACATTTTTATTTTTTTTTGGTCCTCGAAAATTTTAAAATTTGCACCCCCCCCCTTGAGCGCCAGGAGGGGGGGGGGGGCCCTGGATCCGCCACTGTCTGTGTATAGATGGCTCTGCCGAGATCCAGAGCCGTCTGGCACTGCCGACCACCACTAGAATTTTATGTACTCATCTTCTTGTTTTATTTTTCCTGATTTCGTCGTACTTTTGTCTGTTTTCGCTATCGTCAACGTGTCATCATGCCTTCTACATATAGGTTGCTTCTTTACCGATCCGGATATTTTCAACAATTCTACTAATTTCACGGCTTTGCACGAATGTTCACTGTCAGGGCCAGCCCCCCCCCCGATCGCAACTGATTTCCCCTACCTTTCTTTCTCTTTTTTCCCCTTTCCCTTCCCTTCCTTCTCTCTCTTTTATGTTTGCGGGGGGGGGGGGGGGGGGGAGGCAAGGGCCTTTCGGCCCCCCGATCCACAAACTTGTTGGGGGAAAATTGCAACTGATGTTTCCCTTCTTTTTTCCTTCCCTTTATCACCTCTTTTTCTTTTTTCTATACCTTTTACTTCTTCTCTCTTATTTTATTGATGGGGGGGGGGGGCGGGGCGGGAAGGCAAAAGCCTAGGAGGAAAGGCCCTTTCAGCCCCCCCCCCCCGATCTCCTTTTCTTTTCTTCTTCCTCTTCTTTATTTCCCTTTCCCTTCTCTCTCTCTCTATTTTTTGCGGGGGGGGGGGGGGGGAAGGCCCGCTCGCCCCCCCTCTATCCGTGCCTCACTGCAAACTACTAACACAAGGATTTGTACATCCCGAGGAAGCGATTATGGACAATCTTACCGCTGTAGAAAAACACGAAACACTCAATGTTATCTTTTTTTTTCTCACTCAGGACGGAATACACTTTATTGCTTTTTTATAGATTATGTGCAAATGCATACAAACCTTAACATACATTAAAATAAATCAATTGAATCAAAGTATATAATAATGTTTTTATAATGAAGGAATTCATGTCATCAATAATCAGGTACCACGAGAAAGATTTTGGTAGAATTTCAGCAGAATTTAAGAAGTGGTGCTATTGCAAAAGCCACAAAATGGTACCTACAATATTGTGCAATAATTCAAAATTATCAGATAAAATCATCTCTCTAAAATCTATTATAAATCTGAAAGTCAAATGAAATTATTCCAATGTGTACAGGGTGTCTAAAAAATATGAGTTTCATTGGCTATATAAGTAGTCAACCAAACTCAGTGAATTTGTAAAAGTATGGCTTTCATAGGATCTTCTAAACCATGCACGAATTTCACAAGGACTTGAGCTAAAACTACAAAGTTATGACTGATTTTGTCAAACGTACTATATTTTTCTAAAGTTACAAAGAAAGCTCTTGAATATCTTCAGTGCACAATAAGCCTGTGCCTGTCTCTTCTGCATTTCCTGGCAAACCTTTTCATTTAAATGTTTCTAACTCATGAGTTCTTAGTGAAATCCCCGCTGACAGATTTCCAGATTAATCTTTCATCTTTTTTTTAAAGTTAATAATATTTGTTCAACTTTTTCATATTGAAATCATTATGACGTGAGTAATATACTGTAGGGAACACCCAAGCATTATTTTAGAAGAAAACTGCCAGACATAATGATTGTGCACTAATGCTGTTCAACATGCTCTCCTTGTAAAATTGGAAAATGCTACATCTTATAGAAATGATCATAACTCTGAAGATTTTGGTCACATCCTTATAAACCTTACAGGACACATGGAAGGCACATAGACAATCTACATACAAAAGCCTTTGCCTTTGTTGCATTCAATTTGAACAATATCCTTGTTATCCTATACTCTTGTTATGAATACATCTAATTGTTTTGTCCACTGTTGGAAGAGGTCATATTACAATAATTTAAAAACTCTTTGTAAGGGGTGTACTCGCTTTTGTTGGATACTATAGATAAAAAGTCATGTCATTTGGGACACATTGCTTAGAAATGCCCTTTTCAGTTTGAAAATAGTAATATGTCATGTGACTGGCTATCAGCCAATCAGATGATTGGAATACACACAGCTCTTTATGAAGAACATCTATGATGCACGAAACTTTATTTCTTTGAAAAACATAATGCACACACAACCCATATACAATACATGTATACTAAACACACACACCCTTTATCTACAGCAGATATCTTCAACAATATACACTTGCTTGACATGAAGCAAAAACCACAGAAATCATCTTCAACTAAAACAAAATCACAACAATAAAAGGCTTTCTTGCTCACTGTCTCTGACACAAAAACTGAACTTGGAGCTTATATAATGGTGACAAAAGAGAACACCTCAAACTCTAGAACGATATGTTTAAACGCACATGATAAAATGAAGAGTTTTGGCTGTAATATCGGTATTCTTAACAAAACAAAAGGGTCATGAAAAAAGAAAAAAATCACATTTCTCTTCCTGACAAAATACTGGATTGCATAACAAATATGTGTTTTGGATTGACTTACTTCTAATCAAAACCAACCACTTAATCTAGATACCTTTTACTCATCAATTCAAAGACTCTCGATTTAAAATGAATACCTACATACACGTACGTATGGCCCTTGAATAGACGGGTTTACTAACATATTCAAGTTTTATGTATACTTTTAAAATGGTTGTTCTTGACAGCCTGAAAGCTAACCCAAATTATTGCCAGACAAAGCAACAAGTAATGTATGCAGACTAGATTGATTCCAAGTATTGAAGTTTATTTATCCATTCATTCATAACAGGTTAATGGAATAACTAATCACCAGGTTCGATTTGATGGTCTGTGTTACCTGACTGCTAAGCAAGCATGTATATGCCTCTTAAATAAGCAACCAGAGGACCGACGGCTATAAGTCCTCTCAGAGGGACTTGGTAATGAGGACTAATGCCTACCAAAGGGCACTAGCGCATCAACTTGGTTTCGAAACCCTCCCAGTTACAAGACCACTGCTCTACCTCTGAACCATCCTTTGCTTTCATTTCACATCTCCGTTCCCCGGAAAGAAATATCCATAAATTTGAATATGTTAGTATACCCGTCTGTGGGAGGGAATTGAACTTGCTATCATGCTGCTATTAGAGAAAGCAGGAAAACAGATCCGAAAGTTATCTTTCAATATTGAACGTCCATATTCTCCAAGCTCGGTCTAAAGGTTACTTTAAAATAGGAAGTTAGGACAGTCTACATTTCCTCATCATTTAGCATGATTGCACCACAAGTCATGTTTAAGGAAATTCATAGAATACAGGTTAAAGGGCAGTAGTTCTTAGAATGTATCACAGACCCAAGTTGCAAAAGGGCACACAAATACTGATTTTCTGAATTTCATAACTTTCTCATATGTGTTACCAGTAAACATTTTGTCAAATCTCTTATCTTTTCTGCTTTTACCCAAATAGTGGATATCAACTTAAGCAACAAAACTCTATTGATGCAACACTCAAATATACATGAAAATAGATAATAATAATATTTAATTTCATATAGCGCTTAATACAAATGTCTCTAAGCGCTTTACAAATATACTAAGATTTTTAGAAGTACTGTGAATAATTACGATGAGGGCAGTATCATTCAAATCTAATGTTCACACAAGGTATAAAATACTATTTCTGTACAAAAAATGACTGAAAGACATTTTGTTTCAGTACATGCATGATCATCTGCTAAGTGGTCTAAATACAACTGTTGTAAACAAAACAATAGTTTTAACACAGAATAATAATACCAAGGAATGTGATTTGGTAAAGTACATTTTTAACCCTTCCTGGACAGGAATCACTATGAGGGTTCATTCTTCAAATTGGCATTGCTGGTATTTGTTCTTTTACTGTTGCATGTTTTTAGTAAAAAAGTCATGCATCTGGAATAAATATAGCAGGGTACATGAACAGAAACTCTCTTGAAAAGTTAGAAATTTTCAATATATGCATGGATAAACAGAGATTTTGAACTTTCTACTTCCTCCCAAATCCATAAAAGCTTAATTCGTTTTTAATTTAAAAAAAAAAAAAAAAAACTGGTGAAACTTGATTTTTGTCTAGTTACCTACCCTGACCCATGTGCAGCCAAACATATATTGTGCAATTGATATTTTACCAAAAGAAGTGAGGGGAATACTCTCACTCTTAAGCAAAGGGCAATTTTAAAAGTATCAACATCAACACTCTGTAATGGAAATGACATTATCTAATGGTATCTTTGGGGTTTTAGAGGGGCTAATGATACAATACTCCCCAGTGGAGACATTTTTTAATTCTGGTAAAATGTCTTAATAAATCAAGGATTATACTTAGCATTTTATGATCTGACTCATAAAGTTACAACTCACTGTCCACAAGATACACTACATGCATCACCTGAAAGTAACATGTTACTGCACAATTGTGCAATTTTTTGTATCTGTTTTGAAAGGAACTACAGTGCAGTGATAATCTCAAAGTCAATAGAAACAGGCAACTGGTTATTTGCTAATGCAACTCCCATTCCTGTGAATAAGTTTCAGATACGTTACTATTTCGGTGGGAGAGTGTACTACTACAAGTGTTGCTAATTTGAAAAACAGATGAAGACATAAAAAGGGTGGTTTGGGTGCAAATGAGCACAACTATTAAATGAAACAAAGTACCCATGCTTCATCATCTTGGTTATTTATAAAATCAGTTCATCTTTATAGAAATAACAAAGCAATTATTTCAACTTCAAACAAATTATTCTGATGAAAGGTTGGGAATTTTGGCACCAATGTGCTATAAAAATGTACTTTCATTTTTCTTGGTGTTCTCAAAGATTTCTTTTCCCTTTACATTATCAAATAGTTATCTGTACACAAAATTTCAGATTCTGATTATGCCAAAGTCATATTGCAAAAATTGCAAAAATTATAAGCTCAAAGGTAGGAGCACTGTTGGTAACATATTTTCATCTTTCATAGTTATGCAATTTGGATGCTGCCCCGTAGTGCCAGTAGTGCTGCCCAGTAGTGCACAGTAGTGAAGCATCGAAAAGCTGAGGGGCCTGTCCTAAGTCGCGATTGATACACATTGATGGCAAGTCCTTCAATCAATTACAAATTTACAAATCCTTATCTCAGTACAGATTTCTGATTGATATCAAGTTGACGTCACTCTGATTCAATCACAAAGGTTTATAAGACAAGGTTCAGGACTAAGAAAATCTAAGGCCTAAGCAATCAGTTTTAAGAACTATAAACTCCCACATTTGACATTGCTGCTGAATTCTGATCAAACTATCCATTGAATCTGGTCTAGTGTCTATTGAATCTAGAAAGATTGGACAGGGTTAGAATCCCAGGGCCTTGACAAGTGAGCTCATCAAGTCACCAGGTCATATTTCCAGATCAGCTCCCAGGTCAGCTTACCAGATCAGCTCTCAGATCAGCTTACCAGGTCAGCTCTCAGATCAACTCCCAGGTCAGCTCCCAGGTCAGCTTACCAGGTCAGCTCTCAGGTCAGCTCTCAGGTCAGCTTACCAGGTCACAGGGTGTATGGTCAGCATACAAGGGTCTGAAGATGTTGTTTGTAGGCTGGGGAGAGAGGTCTGCCCCTGTCATGCACTGTCGAATGCTGTATTCGCTGCTAGAGGAGCCGATTCATCTAAATGGTACAAGAAATAAACATACATTTACTATCACTCTTAAAGGTGAAGTTAATAGGTACCCAATAGAAAGCAATTCCTTCAATGCTTGAGGACCTTATCATGGTAGCTCTGCTCAATTCGGATGTAAGAGTACGATTGCAGGGAGAACAGTATTAATACTATGAGGCTACCCTGGGTAAACAAGACATTATTATATGATCTATACAGATTTGCACATGAAATCAAGTAATTTTTGATCTTTAGCAATACATCTGTAGCGGATTGTATCATCGATTCTAAAAAAAAATTGCACTTCATCACAGTTTGTTTACATTGCCCCTCCAGCCAAAAATATATTATATTTCTTAAATTTTATTAAAAAAAAAAAAAATGCCAATGACTGACCTAAAAAGGTGACCCCCTCCCCCCCCCCCAACGGAGTAAATGTCAAATTTCGTGACCCAAAAAACTAGATGGAATTTTGACTGCGCGCAGTCGAAAATGATGCCTCCGCCATAGAGCAATTTAAACAAGTTTGGAGTTTAAATCTCCAGTGGTTCTTGAGATATCATGATAACAATCTCAATGTATGGAATTTCATAAGTGACCTCTGTGACCTTGACCTTGACCCTACGTGCTCCAAATCTAATCAGATTGTCTTCCTATGGTGATACACACTATCATTAAGTTTGAAGTTTAAAATCTCCTGGTTCTTGAGATATTATGATATGGTGATACATACTATCATTAAGTTTGAAGTGAAAATTCTCCAGTGGTTCTTGAGATATCGCGATAACGATCTCAATGTATGGAATTTCATAAGTTGACCTCTGTGACCCTTGACCTTTGACCTACGTGCTCCAAAATCTAATCAGATTGTCTTCCTATGGTGATACACACTATCATTAAGTTTGAAGTTTAATCTCCAGTGGTTCTTGAGATATTTTGATAACAATCTCAATGTATGGAATTTCATAAGTTGACCTCTGTGACCCTTGACCTTTGACCTACGTGCTCCAAATCTAATCAGATCGTCTTCCTATGGTGATACATACTATCCTTAAGTTTGGAAGTTTTACATCTCCAGTGGTTCTTGAGATATCATGATAACAATCTCAATGTATGGAATTTCATAAGTTGACCTCTATGACCCTTGACCTTTGACCTACGTGCTCCAAAATGTAATCAGATTGTTTTCCTATAGTGATACACACTATCACTAAGTTTGAAGTTTAAATCTCCGGTGGTTCTTGAGATATCATGATAACAATCTCAATGTAAAATGCATTCATGAATTGGCACCAATTTATCTGCAAGAATTAATCGAGGATACAAAAACCCTCACGCAATTTACGGTCATCTTCAATTAAACCCTCGTATCTACTTTCTACTCTGTGTCAACTCTCTCTTATGGTAATATCGCTCCTTTCGCAAAGCTTCTGCTGAACTTTGGAACAAATTACCTTTAAATGTAAAAAACTGTCCAAACCGTTAACCTATTCAAAACTAGTCTCAAGACACATTTATTCAAAATTGCGTTCGATGATTAATTATCTCTGTTCACTTTGATGTGTATTCCATATGTATTGTTATTTGTAGGTTATTTTGCATTTTTTAGTTTGTATAAGATGTAATTGTATATCAGTCTATTTTGTGTGTATAGTGCTTAGAGACTTCGGTGGTAAGCGCTTTATAAGTAACGTTTTTATTATTATTATTATTATTAATGTATGGAATTCATAAGTTGACCTCTGTGACCCTTGACCTTTGACATACGTGCTCCAAAATCTAATCAGATCGTCTTCCTATGGTGATACATACTATCCTTAAGTTTGAAGTTTAAATCTCAAATGGTTCTTGAGATATCGCGCTAATAAACTCAATACAAGGAATTTCATAAGTTGACCTCTGTGACCTGTGACCTTTGACCTACGTACTCCAAAATCTAATCAGATCGTCTTCCTATGGTGATAAATACTATTCCCGAGTCTTAAGTTTAAATCTTAAATGGTTCTTGAGATATTGTGATAACGGTCAAACGGGACGGACGTACGGACGGACAACCCGAAAACATGATGCCTCCGGCACCACCTTCGGTGGCGGAGGCATAAAAAAAAAAGGTGTCCTCTTACCCCCCCCCCCCCGCTTATTCAGCGGCTATATGTTCTCTTTCCCACACGGTGCCCCCCCCCCCCCCCCCCCCCCCCCCCCGGTAAGAAATTCCTGGATCCGCGCCTGCATCAATTGCTTTTCATATGCATAATCAACAGACCAGCATTCCTTTTGATATCATCTCTTTTGTTCAACATTGTGACTCAATAGAATATAAATCAGGCAAGCTCACCTGTTGTTCAAATACCTACACTACTAAACCCTAGTAGATGTTTTTGTGTAATGGCAACAACTGGCCAATCAAGAAACAATCTGGGAAAAGGTCATGACACAATTTAGTAGATTTTGGTCCTTGTGCACCATCTTAGTAGAAGGATTTGACTTTGGGAAGCAACACAACTTCTGCTAGTTACATGCAACTTTTATACTACATTAGGTTTATTCAGCTGCACTTATCAGCAAAGAAGGACTTGTCATATGAATTTAATTCATTTGAATATCATCACACATTGTAAAAACTTTCATCGCTTGTGTTCACCGAGGAGGAGTTTTAATTTGGTGAGCTTATTATCTCTTGACTTTTTGGTGGGGAGATTATGTCTGCAACCCTTTAAATTTGCCATGAAACAGATAGTTTTACGTTTCCTGTTATTCCTGATGTTCTATACAACACATCAAGTCAACAAAAGTAGAAAAGTTTTGTTTGTCAATAATCTAACCACTCAAAAAACTATCAAAGCCCAAGAAAACTCAAACAAACTTGAGATGGAGTCTATGGAAAATGTGTTTATATCCAGTGTTGTAGTCCAGTCTTAAGAACCAAGTTCAAGTCCAGACAGTTATTGGGGTCTGGTTGACTTGTCGAGTCTCAATTATACCTTTTAAGTCCTGAAGTTTCATGTAATTTCTAATAAATCCTACTGGAAATATGACCAACTTTAATAAAAAGTACCTCTGTGACCTTTGATCTACTAACCCAAAATCTAATCAGATTGTCTTCCTATGGTAAAACATAATATCACCAAACTGAATTTGAAGTTCATATCTCACATGGTTCGTTAGATATTGCGATAACAAGAAAGCAGGACAGACGGACGGACAACCCCAAAACACAATGCTTCTAGCAGCACTTTTGGTGGGTGGAGGCATACATGTACCATTTTTTTTATCTTGGACTTGACATAGACTTAGGCTAAGTCCTCAAGTCCAGAATCCCAAGTCAAATTTAAAGTCTTTGGTTTGCAAGTCCAAGTCCAAGTCCCCCAAAATTGAGCTCAAGTCTAAATTCCATGTCCAAGAACACTGGTTATATCATAGTCAAATCATATCCAACACATTAAATTGAAGCAAAAAAAAAAACATGCTACTTCTGTTCACTCCAAAATATCTTCAGAATAATCCATAGTGTATGTTTAACCTGTATGGGTCCATTTGTCCTGGGCTATGTACATAGCAGCTGGGATACAGTACTGGGCTACACCAAACTTGTTGGGGTCAGTGCAGTTCACCATCCATACTGGTAGTACAATCTTGGTGTAAAACTGTCAAAGATAGGCAAAACAGGCATTCAATCAACTATTTCAATGTAGTCAGACATCTAAAAACTTGATTTTGAAGCACTGACATTTATTTGATTTTGCAAACGGGTATTCATGTCTAGATTGAAAATAACTGTCTTTGATTTTCAGAGATGCCTGGGCTCCGTCTTACAAAGAGTTGATATCAATCGCGACTATGTACATAAGAGAAAGGAGACTGCAAACTTGCAATTGATTGGAGGACTTGGGATCGATTTAGATCGATCAGTTAGTATGACCACCTGAAAATGATTAATTAAAAAAGGTTCCTTGCTAGTTTACTATTTTTTGTTTAAACAGGTTTATACAAAAAACCATATCAACATAAGAACATTATTTATATGAATTTGCATAACAGTTAACCCTCAGTACTGACTAATTGTTAAGCATGATATGTCTCATAGTTTTCTTGGGTAGATATTACGTCTGTCAACGAAAATACAATTTGTATTATTTTAGAAACTGTTTCCCTTCAAGAGTGTAGAAGACAACAAAAAGGACATCTTTACCTCTGGGCAACCCATAAACTTGTCCAGTGAATTTAATTGAGATGGATTCAAGCAGTAGACACAGCCCTCCACAGAGCTATCGGGAGAAAACTCTATGTTTGCAAAGCCTCCAGCCTCTATGTCTTGACCTGGATATTTGAAGAAAAAATATCACTGCACTTGGAAACTTAATAAAGATTAAGATCTTATGGTGAAATATATTAGTTCCTAAGTTTAGTGAGTTCAGTTTCAATGATTTACTAACAACATAGTCTTCTTCAGAAGGTTCAAAATCTAACTATGTTCCACACAGCTTTTCAAATGACTGACGGTTAGAGGGGAAGTCTTCACCTTGATATTAAAGGGATCCGGTAACTTTGACTTAGATTCTGAAACAAAATCCTGGATTTAGCTCATGCTACAATGATAACTATAAACCTTTAAGTCAGTCAGGAACCCCATGACTTTTTACAAGCCGATCACCTGTCTGATTATCAAGATATTTATGATTGGAAATCAAAATCAAATCTTGCGTTTCGTAACGGTTTTCATAACACTACAGTCTATTGGGGAAAATGAGTATGGTAAACCCTGTCACTCAAAGATTTTGACTTTTTTGAGGCACTTTTTGATCATTTTTAAGCGCAATGTTTTTAAGGGCTTCAATATTAAACCATATCACATACACTAATAAGACGTACATGTAGGGCCGTGCATTTCAGGTTTAACATTGTATAACGATGCCTTTAAGTTAGTTTTAATACTAGCAGAAAAACTGAGAAACCAAGTCAGTGATAATTTGAGCACATTCTGATTAAAAATAAGAATGTGATGAATATTTGAATTTGTGATCAATCAAACACAAATTGGCAACTCTGCGATGTATCTTATGAAGAAGATGGCCCGCACATTACCAATGTCAATCTTGCACGGTTTTTATACAGAGTATGCAATTTTTTAAAGTTGTGTTCATAGTCCTTAACTCATATATTTGAGTTTTACAATAATATTTTTGGTGATTGGTACCCTAATAAGATATAACATTTGTAAGATATAACATTTGTAAGATATAACATTTGTAAAATATACCCGGTATATCTCCTTGTTTAGAGGTTTGAAATTTTGTTACCTCCTTCTAAGTTTAGAATCTAAACTGTACAAAACCACTAACTTAGAAATCTTTCAATTCAATACAAGTATCCACACATACGACCTGGTTTCCCCATCTCAATTCTGAAAATATATTATTACAGTCTATACATTGAAGAGGTATATAATAAAAGAATTAAATTACCTTTCTTATTGAATTGCAGAGCAAATCCAAAGAGAATACCCCATAATCTCTGTTCAACTTTGGATCCTATATAAGTGGATAACCTGTTGGTATAAAAGATGCCCCAAAAAAGAAAACAAATATATAAAAAAGGAAAATAAGTATAGAGCAATCTGTATATAAGGGAGACGAGAAACAAGCACACACAATTGGAGATAAATTCAACATGCTCTCTTCCAGCAATTATAAAACTGCTGTAAAGCACTTTGAGAGGGCCTTCGGTCCTGAAAAGCGCTACATAAGAACTAGCTATTATTATTATTATTATTTTGCATCACCTCATCAATAGTGGATTATGAATAAATTCCTCTTGGTTATGGGTGGGCCTGAAAATCTTGTAACCATTATCTATTTTGTACACATACTGCTTGAATTGTGGCTGAAAAATAAATTGCTAAGGCATGAAAACTGTCATCCATGTTTACCAATTTTCAATTAATATAATTTTGTTAATTAACAATCAGATTTAAATAACTACTCCTAAATTTCTGCCTAATATCATCCTGGACATAAACTGGCTATGTATGGACCTACAACAGTTGTGTCTGATTAGGAAGTCTCTTAATGTCTCTCTTCATTCAATGGTACAATGTATTTGCAATTGATACTGTATCTACTAACAGGCACATATACATGTTTAAAGACAAAGTTTTGGGAAATTTCGAAAATGGCCAAAGAACGATTCTTTTAAATTTTTATATATTTGGATGTCCCTGAGGATGTATTATGGGCACTAGAAAATTTAGCCCCTAAACACTTCTGCTTTCGAGAAAAATTGAATATCAAAATTTAACAGTGCGCTTGGTAAATTTAGATAAATTTCAAATAGCACCTATACGGCCATCCAATGGTAGCTGCGACCATAAAAATCTCAGAATATGCATTTGTGATATATAATTTCCAAACGGGAATAGCCAATCAGTCGATTTTAGTCACGAAACATTGTTTTAAAGCTAAATTGATATCTTGACCTTGAGAGGGAGCTATACAACATAAACAATTTATTATTTACAATTTCATCACTTTAGACTCGTTTTTAACTGTGACAACGATCACTGAATATTGTATATGCTTCCAAAAAGTTCATTTGAGCCAAATTCATGACCCCATACCAAAACTTTGTTTTACCTTTAACCTGGATTCTACAGATTCCCTGAAAGGGTGCATCTTCCAATAAGTACCCACTGATATCACCTTGGCTGAGTATGACATACTGGTTTTTAAAATGATGTATCGAAGGGCATTGGCGCTGTGGCTGAGACATGAGCCCCATGTCTTGAGATATGCAGTACGGCAACTGGTAACTCTGGTACATGTATTAAACTCATCCACTACACCACATTAACTTATATATCTATTGATACTCATTGTGTGTGTGTGTGTGTGTGTGTGTGTGTGTGGGGGGGGGGGTGGTGTGGCAGAACAAATATGATAAGTTCTATCAACATACATGTATCCATACATGTATAAGGGAGAGGTAAAACAGAAAGCACTTTTAATCCTTCTTCTCATGAACATCTCACCTGGTTGGGTTCATTGTAGCTCCATAGGAGAAGTAGTAGAGCTTCCCTGGAGGTGGACGAGCATTGATCTTGAAGCAGAGGGGTGGGAAAGGGGCCAGTAGGGGTGTATCATCTGTCTTGTTCTTGGCATGCCTACAGAAGTCACAAAATGCACATATTCATTCATTGACATATGTTGACTCGTGCCAAAAGCAGTAGAAGCTGTTCAATGTGTGTGCTTTGTTTTTCTTGTGGGGGAAGGGAGGTGATGGTTGTACTAGAAATTGTACAAGTGTTAATGAATAACATGCATAAAGTTGAATAGTATAAAGTAGTAATTGTTTCACCATACAAAATGGGAGAGGCCTATGATTGAAAAATTAAAAAATTATCTTAAGAAAAACAATAATTTTGTGGAACGTGTTTGTAAAATTGTGGAAATTACAAACCATTTTTTTCATCTACATTATTTTGCTTTTCGTAGAACCTCTAAAGCAGAAATGCTTTTACACACACCAAAACCAAAAGACTTTCTTATTCAAATGATCATTAATTATCATGTCCATGGTATTTTCAACTATCTCAGTAATGACTGAATTTCAAGTTCAAATTGATTTACCTTGGTTTGGTACTCGCAACAATCTCAAGATTGGCTGATTTACTCCTGCAAAACAAAAATATAATGTGACAAGTATTTGTATTATTCTGGCTACAAGACTTGAAAATTAGATATGTTAAATGCATGCAAACAACTACTGAAAAGAGAACAGATATAGAAAAGTGACTGAACATAAAGTAAAAAAAAGTCATTACAAAGATAGAAACTGATTGCTAAAATCTTACAGCTTTAATCTTGACAGATACAAACACATTCTACAAATGCTATTAACTAGGGGTAAAAGTAAACTCAATACAAAAAAAATAGGTGAAATTTTCAGCCATTTCATGACAATTACCTTCTATAGTGCCACATCACAAATTCCAAGTTGAACTAAATTATTTGGTCCACCATGCTTGTTGCTCAAACCTATTTGGTTCTCCTGACAGTAACTTAACACGCTAAAGCTAGATCTTTCTTCAATTGTGCTTCCACAAACCCAGTATTTATGATAACAATAAGATGGACGAATGCCACATAAGAAACTTCATTCCTATAGTGTCCTTCACAGAAGTTTAAATTGCAAATTCAAGTCCGCAATGCATCTCTAACCGTTCAAAGAACACAAATCATGCGCGGTGGTAAATCCTGTCTCCCATTAAAGTGAAGATACTTCTGTCCATTTAGAAGAAAGAGGTACATGTATATCCATCAACAGTTCTTGATGATACAAGAGAGTTAAGGAGACCTGCCTTTCTTCCTATTAAAGGTGAAGAAGTTAAAAGCAAACAATGGAGCAATTCTTTGCATCTACGTCAACATCAAATACTTCATTCTCCAATGACATAATGCCAGGTAGAGCAGTTTGACATTTCTCTAACAAGAGAGAATGCTAGAATATGCTAGAGTGCATTATTAATTGACAAATAGCTAATAAAAGGCCTTCAGTATGTTGGAGTGGCAATTTGTTCTCTATCGACTCGGTCTTTGTCTCCGCTTCCTGCCGTTGCAGAGCAACAGGTGGAGTCTTCACAGGAGTCAGATGGCACTGCTTGGGTTGCCTAGTAACAACACGCTTTTGTATGTAACTCACTACTCTCCGATGTACTTTGAATGGAACAAGGGGCATCTCACCAACATCAGCTCATTTAATTGAACTGATCTTGATGATAATAAGCAGACACGTAGCCACGGGGTGGGGGGGGGGGGGCACGTGCTCCCAAAAAATTTCCAAGATCGGTTGAACTTTTTTAGACCCCTCCCCAGGACGTTGATCGATTACATGCATGTGCCCCCACAAACATCAAATTCTGGCTACGTCCCTGGTAATAAGAGGGTCAAGATAATTTATCTATCGCCGTATCAGGCTTACATTGTATCTAAAACTACAATATACTTGATTTTAGACATTGTGTATTAAAATGTATTAAGGGAATTAAATAAAATATGCTGCCTGTATAGGTCAAATCTAATACCATGCTAATGAAATCAATAACGAGTCAGGAAAGAGGGGGCGGGAGAATCTTAATTGGCGATTTGAGTCAATATTGTGTATGGCTGAAAAAAGATCTCCAATGAATTTCAAATCTCATCTTAAATGAGAGTGATATCAATTGTCTTGATATTTACACAGCTTTAATAGCTAATAAACTTTTCAGAGTCCTCATCGTACTAATCAATTGGAATCTGCTGTATCAATCAAGCAATGAGTATAAGATTACATGCTAAATTGTAAATTTCAAAGGATATTAAGTGGCTAAAATATCATTTTGATATCAACATAAAGGAAACCTCAACCTAAATAATAAGTGCAAGTACGCACTGAAAGATATTCCTGCCTTTTTATGTACAATATTCCTTATGAAAGTGTACAAGAGATATATAAATGAAGATATTCTTGGCACAATGTACTGCCTTTTAGAATGACATGGGTGCAGCTATTTTCTTGATGTGACATACCAAGTGAACTTTAACTCATGCACCAAGCTCGAGTTGGATGTACTTTCTAATTCAACAAAAAGACCTTTACTTTTCAAGTCAACGAGGGAAACTGAGAAGGTAATAATTATATTTGGTAAAAAAATATAACAGGAGACCAATTGTAACTCATTTATTAAATAAAACTAAAATATAGCTGATGACAAATCTATTTCATTTATGCCATACTTTCATCCCAGAAGAGCACCAACTTATTTAATGCAAATTTGCATTCTCTCAATCGTCACATTTTCAAGAAAATGGCTATGTCCATGTCATGCTGAGAAACTGTACATTATGCTAAGAATATCTTGCTTTATATCTCTCTCATACACTTTGGTGGGAATCTTGTAGATCAATGGGCAAGAATACAATGAATCCCTAAGAATAACGTAAGTTAATTCTTGTGGTGAGGTTTACTTTAAAGGGAGACAAATTGCATAATAAATATTAAATTCATGATTAAAACATACATATACTACCAACACACAAAAAATATCATGTATCATATTCCTCATCGAAAATTAGTTGTGCATGGATTGGTCAAGAGCTCTTCAAGTCATCATTCATAATTCTACTAAAAGAGAAAATTCTCTCCAGAGGGAAAAATAGGTGTGACGTCACACTTCTCATATTATGATACCCTTCTTACTATTTTTCTCTCAGACTTCCCCCTTGTTTCCAATAATAATTTTTGATCATGTGTACAGAGAGTATTCAGGTGTTTTGCATTCTGACTATTGAAATACAATTATTTATAACAAGTGAATGAAATAATTGTTAACATGGGACTTAACAAAGATTTATGCATCAAATTTGAATTACATTACAAAAAGGTCTATCTAGACAGGATAACTGGACACAAATTAGCTCTAGTCCCACCAAGTGATATTAATGTGCAGGGGCGGTATTCTGAACCCTGTGTTATCTCTAATATTGTTGTATCTTTGAAGATAAGATAAAGTTGGTATTCTGAACATTGTTGTAACTTTTGTGTTATCTTTTGTTGTATCTTTTCTCTCATCTTATTGGCCGCGCCTGCGCTCATACTTTGGTGCGCTTGTAATTGTGCGTATTATTAATAAAGTGGCATTTAATTCTCATTTGCATATGCGCACGGGAGATAATATGTCGAGATAATTGGTATTCTGAAAGTTGTTGTATCTTTTATCTTATCTTATCTTGCATGGTATTTACAACAATATTTACAACAGGTAGGGGGTTGTTGTATCTTTCGTGGTGATATAATGGCGGCAATATTTTTTGCCCAGAACCAACTTCGTGCCAATAGACGAGTTAGAAGAAGATTGTGTGTTGACCGGAAACATCACAGATGAGAACTTTCTAAGATATTACATGCTAGGATAGGACTATTTTAATGCTCTCATCTTAACCAATATAGTGAAAGCGTGATTTGTCTTCATGATCCACATTCAACAGCGCATAATGATGACGCGCGTAGTAAGTGCTCAAATAACTAATTACGCCCAAGATTAGTATGCGCTAGGCGCATCTTTAGATATGGCATAAAGTATTCCTATTGGTTGATCTACTTATCATGCTTATATAAAATAGATTTTGATTGGTAGGGTCCATAAAAATGGGCGTGTCATCAATGGTCAAAGATAAGATAGAGGCGGTCCTTCAAGAGATAACACAGGGATAAAACAATGTTCAGAATACCAACTTACAACAATATTAGCGCTGTGTTATCTCTGGAAGATACAACAAAAGATAACACAAAACTTACAACAATGTTCAGAATACCACCCCAGGCATAACATCCACAGCTATTGGAAACAAAAACAAAATACAAAACACTGACCAATCCAAGTTGAACAAAAGAACAGACAACTTTAACCTGTTATGGAAACAAAACATGATGACACTTTGGCAAAGTTTTTTTATTTGGGGATTAGAGTCAACTCTGTATATAAATCCCTGTAATACAAAGAGAACATATTGAACTGATATGCTACAATAAAATGATAAAAGCTTACTGAAATATTAAACGATTTCCATTCACAAAATTTCCTTTCATATTCAGTTCACAAATGAAATATACTCACACATTTTCTGAGGTTTCAGTTCCAAAATGTTCCTGATGCTGATTTCAGAAATGAAAAAGAAAAGACAAAATGAAAACTAAGTACAAGTGTCACCTAAAATTCAAACTCATTAATCTTCCAAGAAATATCATCCTGTTCACATTTGGTTAAAGGATCCATTTCACATTAACCCCTCCCAATCTGTAAGCAGCAAATCATGCCCCAAACTTGAGTGTTGAACAATGTAGTTTTAATAGACAAAAGTGTTCAGCTTTTTCTTCCTGAAAAAACATTTTCATTTTGAAGTTTAATCGCAGGG